TGCGGCCATTGTCTATGTGGCTGAGGATGAGCAGCATACGGCAAAGTTCATAGATCCCGTTTTATCTATATTCTCTTGTGTACTGTTGGTGTCACTGAGTTATCCATATAGTAAGTATAACAGCTGTGATTGTGCTTAGAAAAGAGATCGTTAAGAATATAACAGTCCTCGCCTCGCTATTTCAATGTATGTGTGGTGGTGTGATTCATATAACAAATGAAAAGAGTATAACACTTACCAATACCTTGTAACTATTTATAATTTGTATAACAGCTGTAAAGCTCCCAGCTTATCAATTATGCACGCCTATTGCATAATTTTCTGTTGTTTCAGTTTATTATAACAACTAATAGTAGCGTAGCAGCAACTTCAAGCTTTGGCATTACAGAGCAATAGTTATTTGACGGTATAACACCTATCAATTTAATTTGCTACCTCACAATTTACATAACAGCAGCAGACGCCTAACATTTGTATATCAGCCAAATAGTTCATTCACACATCTATCAATTTTCTATCTCAAAATGTATATAACAGCTGTAGAACTGCTAAGATTTGATTAGCATAACAGTCATGTTAACTAACATTTTTCCTTCTCTTCTCTTTACAGTGAAAGAATCGTGTCTTATTTTACTACAAACCATACCCGCCTCCATTGATCTGGAGATCTTTGAGCGTACACTAGTGAATAAATTTCCCGAGATTGTTAGCTACCATGATCTGCACATCTGGCAGCTGGCCGCGCACAGCTATGTGGCCACCATACACATACAGTTCCAGAATCCCAAGCTCTATTTGAAGATAATTGAGCAGGTGCGTGCCTATTTCCATGAGCAGGGCATTGCCGAGGTGACCATCCAACCGGAATTCTCATCGGCAACCAATAGAGATGCCTCAGCATCCCTTGAGTGCCTTATGCAATGCCAGGCGGCCGAGTGCATTGAAAAGGTTTGCTGTCGCGACTCGCGCTCCGATCTGCGTGAGGTCAGCAGCAGTCCAGATGGCAGCAAATCACCCAAGGCCAAATCCTGCGCTGAACTGACCACCGTTGTAGTCGCGAAACCCGAAGAGCTGAACGCGGCACAACTCATGCATGGACAAGAGAAGGAGACGTTGACCCCATGTACATCTAGCGTATCTCTGCCTACAGAGGCAAGCCCAACTGATGCCAAAGGCTGTTGATCGTCCATAATTGATATAGTCATAGGGATTTTACGATTTTAACTAGACCTTAAGCTTATTCTAACGATTTCTACTGCATTTAGGCTAATTTACTACTTAATTTACTAAGTTAGCTACGCCTGAACATTTCAAAATTTTTTTAGACTATATAGAGAGAGATATAGCATAATTGCAGTATTTGCCATATACAAATTTTGAAAACAATAATTTTTGAACGTGAGACGCTTAACTAGTTTTAAAAGACAACTATAAGATATATATGTATGTATGTGAATGTATAGAGTGTAAGATTGATATATAATATATGTATTTGTACATTTGATTTTAACATTTTCTATATATTTATACAAAAATATGACTATAGTAGGTAAACTGGTTCCGTGTTTTTGAGTTATTCATTTCAAATAGACATCGTCGGCATGCAGACTGCTTAGGCAGTGAAACAAAGTCCACATAAGATCCACACGCACACACAGATTGTAGGTAAACAATAAGTTGATTTTTATTCTATTATTTGCCACAGCAACGATACCGCGTATCAGACAGGTCAGTATGATAAGGCTTGATACAGTCAAAAAGGGATTTTACGCGGCTTTTGCAACGCCGCCTAGCAGATACTCAAGTGTAAAGAGCCGTATAACGAGAGCCAAATTGTTTGTGGTCGCATAATCGATCATCTGTTCGTTATCGTCCGTTGTGTGCCATACGCTGGGAAAGGGAATGGGAATTAAATGTACAACGGGCACATTGCGCCGCAGAAAGGGTATGTGATCGTCCTCCACTTGGCTGTTCCGCAAGGCCTGCGGCTGAAAATATCTGGATGGATCGTGCTGCACCACTCCGCTGCTCATATACCGTTCAAAGAGGTGCTGCTGCGACAGACGTGTTTCCAGATCCACCAAACGCATATACCATTGCTCCGTATTGGGGAAGAAACTGTAGAAGGAAGGATCCGGCGTACCCAGCAAATCGAGTAGCACCAACATATCGATGCGATCCAATTTGCCCTCCTTCTCCCAGACCTTGGCCAAATGTCGGGCACCATATATGGAATCGGTTGGACCCCAGTCCTTAAATGCTTCCTCACCGTCGAAGAACAACAGCATCAAACTAAGCTTAGTGCTCTGGAATGGCTTAAGCTTCTCCTGGAGCACCTTGGCCAAATTCAAGAGCATGGCACAGGGCACAGCGGAGTCCGTGGCACCCACAAACTCCTTGCCCGGCATATACTTGCTGTCATAATGGCATGCCAACACCAAGAATCGCTCAGCATTGGGATTCAGTGTAGCTATAATGTTGCTGAAGTGTAAATTGCCCATAATGGGCGCTGTGTCATGAAAGTTGTCCAGCTCCACATTCCAATCCAAGTCGCGCAGACTCTGCACAATATATTGACGAACGATTCCATGATTTGGTGTGCCCACAACTCGTGGTATTGATATATTCTTAACAGCTTCCTTCAAATGTTGACCGTCTGATAGGTTGCTGTACTCCAGTAAATGCGCGTCCGAGAGTTGGCTGGGATTGTAGACTATCTGAAATTGACAAAGAATATACACTTGTCACTATTCACACTTGTGTCAACATCTGTCGGATTTTTGTTCTTGCAGCTGGTACCTTATTGCGGCCAACAAAAGAATCTGATGATGCTGGTGATGTGGCTATAGTTGTCTGCATAAGCAGTGTAGCGATAAAAGCTGTATTTATACAGCTAAACCATAATAAGTGTGCAAATCGGGACAGCGGCATCGTGTAATTGCAGTTGATACGTGGAGAACTTTTGATTCAATATGTCTTACAGGTGGTCGCTGACACTGAGCCAATGTGCCATATGTGTACAGGGATATGTATGTGTAGAATGTGTTCTGCAGTAAACTGAAGTGAAGGCGTTCAACTTCATATTCACACTAAACATTTTACCATATTTCATTCAAAACCGTTTACTAAACGGCTAAAGAACAGAAACAAACAATATCTACGGCGTTGCCACATTACTACCGCATTGTTAACAGAGTTAGTGAATTACCATTCGCCCTCTGCTCACACTTAACAGAATTCACCACAGCTGTTAAGGAAAACAGCATTGCGCATCTCTAACGTGCAACTTTTTTTATTTCACTTGCTTATTATAAGTTATAATAGGACCTGTCAAAATGACAGGTATAGGCGCCACAACTAATAAATAACCGAAAAACATTTTTGATAAAAGTCTGCTTTTTTAGCGTTTCATATGTTGCAGTATCTAGTACTCACCACATCGCTACGCTCGAATCTAGCACCCAAGTTGTAAATATATTTCGTTTGTTTGGGCAACAGTTTTTTGATAGCGTCCGTCCAGCCGTAGTTGCGCACAATATTCTTGCCCCAACCGTTTAAGCCTCGCATTTCTCTTCCAATGTATAGTACAGATTGTATGTAAGAAGCCACCAGCAGCTGTTTGATAGACAAACCCAAATGGACTTACAATGTTTGCGCGTGTTTTGTTATCGGGAATTATGCAATAAAACTTATAGGCACGGCACATGTATGTACATGCATACATACGTATATAGGTCAACTTTCACTCACACTCACCACAAGGCCACAAAATAGAGATGCCCAATATTTTCGTTTGGATAGTGTGTAATTAGTTTACTTAACGCTAATGCTTATAACAAACGAACGCAGCGAAAACATAAAACGTTGTAATTGGAAATGATACATATGGAACAGTCGCAATTGTTGCTCTTTTGGAGTCGATGCCAGTTAATCTTCTTTGGATGCTTTTGAGCCACCAAAATAGGCTCGATAGATATAAACGCCCAATGAAACGTGCAGTGCGGCCACAGCGCCCACCGCAGCAGCAATGTTCACTTTTACATCTGACATGGTGAAGAAGCGTTCCAGTACGAAGCCCTTAAGTACGAAAAATGTCACCACGGGCAGGAATACTATCAGAGAGCAGTAGAAGAGGACCACCTTAAAGGCGCTGTAGTCCTGAGAGTCCTACAAAATGATTACATGTCAAGCAAATAAATAACCGGCAAAACGGGGTCATTGTGTTTACATACATGTGAACGCTGTTTGGCTAGTTTCTGTTGGTTGGCATCACTTGCACCTCCAGTGGCCTTCTTGCTTTTGTTGCTCATTTTCGGTAAATACTAAAAGTAAATTAATTTGACAAATCAAAATATTTATTATATTTGTTGTCTTGTTTTCTTGACGTGCTAATCACATGATACTTTGGGAATCTTATCGGCAGGGGCCTATTGTAATCGAGTATTTTTTGATTAGGTGGCAACGTACCGAAATTTAATAAATAAAGGTTTGTGTTGAATAGCTGGCTGACTCTATCAGATATGATAAATAAATAAACAATTCTAAGAGTTAATTTAAATAAATTTTAAATTTTGTTCAAACAAATGTTGTACAACCAATTGTGAATAAAATATCGATACATTTTTGATACATTACATTGCACAGTAAATATATCGATTTATCGATTCATATAACCATTTGTATTTATTTTTAACAATTGGCGTCAGCGTCTGTTTCGATTGGTGCTTGCGTGCGCGCGTGTGTTAATTAAGCTTGTATTTGTTTTTTCCACCATTTCGCTAATGCTGCTATTTTGAAGTAATTAACTCACAGAGAGTGGCTCGTTGCAGTTGTATAGACGCCGCCGGCAGCGGTGCACGTACAGTCGAATAGCGAGTGTCGTTCAATACACAACGCGTTTGTTGTTTGCTTGTGGATTCGTGCATTAATGTGTGCGTGAGTGTATGTGCGCTTAATACAATATATTCTTGGGAAATTTCCACTGCGCACCGATAGCATCAGCGATGGTATTGACAAATTTCGAGTGCTGGGCACATGGTGATTCTGCGCCTGTCCATTTCGAAAGTGGACCGTCGCCGCGCCATTCACCAGTGGTGGATCCCTTCAACGCACGTGTCGTCTCACACATTGCTACCGCATCGAACGGCTACTATGGCTATGCGATTGTAAACAATGCAGTTGCCGCTTCGGACGACAACAACAACAGCTGCAACAACAACAACATACAGGCAATGCAAATGCAAGTGAACGACAACATTGGGGATGACAGTACGCAAGCCGCTGACGCTGCCGCAACAGCACGCTGCAAGAAGCGCTGCTTTGCAATGGGACACGAAAAGTTGGACATGGAGATGGACAACTTGACGGCCGTCAAGCGATGCCGTTTTGATGATGCCGATCTGGTCGCACAGTATTGCAACGGTAATTATGCGCATAAATCAAATTATAAATTAAATGCTTACATTTAGTGCATAACATATTTTTGCGGTTGGCCTTGAGCTTTTCACACCGCACAGCAACTAAAAATGTGCGCTCTCTTTGACTGCCGCATGCGATGGAAAACATTTCGTAAATTGTGTTACAAAATTCGATTTTGTAACTTGTTGGCAACGCTTTTGTGCGGGCCTATGTATGTGCTTATTTTTTCGTCTGCCATTTTTCTGGGCCATGCTTATCAGAAATTGTTTTCATTTATTGTTATCTGAAGAGATTCTAATTTGGCAATTGGGTCACAACTGTGATACCCTAGCTCTGTTTAGAAATGTTCGCCAATTCATAAAATATAATAAACAGAAATATGCCAACAAATGCATATGTGTGTATATAGGGACGTAATCTAAATATTTAGTAAAAGTTTTAATCGTTGCAAATACTTTGGAATTCTCTATTATAGGGTATTTCGGTTATCTCTGTCAATTTTTTATTATATTTAAATATAATTAAGATTCAGCTGATAAAACAAAACTGTCAACCTAGTTTAATAACCTCAAGTGATAAGCCGATCCATATTTCTTAACTAATATATGTATATGTATGTATATAAATTTATAATATAGCACCTATTGACCCTATGAGCAATATGACTGTACGCTTACCGGCAGAAAGATTTCAAACATATATTGAGATTATATATGCATATATACATACATAAATATGTATATGTGTATACATTTATAGCAAAGAATATATATCGTATATAGATATTTGTACAGTTGGGTTTATAATTTACCTGCTATCGCTGTTTATGACATCATTGTAAACGTCTAAAATAATCGAATTGACAGTGATCAATTATAAAATACCCTGTATAGAGAATTCAAAATTTTGTTTTCGAAAATTGAGTGCAATAAATAATTTGAATTCAGATAGTTTAAAACTTAAAAATATTTGTATCTTTCAATATATTTCAATGCAGCCCAGTTCATATTTGTTTAACTGCAGGGTATTTAATTTAAATGAAAATTTCAAGTTATCGCTGATTGCTCGACCCCAACGACAAGCTTGGATCTATATTTATTTATAAGGTCCGTTTTTCAAGCTCCTCTATCAGCTGTTATATAGTTCATAATTTGTTATTTAATTGTACAACTAGGTTATCGCTTACGTTTAGCTAAACAACATGCTTTATAGGTGGCGATCTTTACCTGTTATCGCTGACAACGGCGCAATCAGAGCTTAGTTATGGCAGGGGGAACGGGAGGTATTAGGCCGATAACCAATGGCAGCACTGCTTGTCGCTTTGCAGTCGCTGTCGCTGTCGCCGTTGACGTCGCTGTCACTGTCAACGCTGCTTACAGTATTTACCGGCTATTTATAAATGAACCGTAATTGGGACATATCGGCGCGAACAGCGACGCCGACTGCAAAGCTAACGTCAGCATTTGGAAAATGCTGAAAACGCAATTCCAAATTAATAAATTAAACTGAATATAGCAATTTGAACTTTTTCCATATATGTGTATATGAATTCTGTTACACAGACACACACTAATGTGTTCCTCTTTAAACAGATTTCTTTTCGATGCCCGCCACACAAATGATTGGCACGCAGGCCTGCCTAATGGACTACGATAATGATGTGCAACAACAGCAGCAACTGCAGCAGCACCAGCAACAGCATGAACAGACGCAACAGCAGCAGCAGCATCAACATCAACAGTCAACGCAGCAGCAGCAGCAGTTGTTGCATCCACGCATCCATCAACATTATCAAGGTCATTTGCATCGCGCTAACCGTGATGTGAGTCGTTGCATGATGTCGCACATGATCTAGATACATGCATATAGCCTCTATTTATATGTTTATATGTATATGTATATATATATATGTATGTATGTGTGTACAATCTTTGTATATAGCACACAGACTCACAAACACAAACACAACATGCAACAGTTCACCGACTCGTCTCTCTGTCTGTCACCGCAAGAGTATAAACAAAATATTTCCATTTGCCGCCGTATTTGCTAATATTAAATGTATATCCAAAAATTTGCATATTACTCATACAGAACAACACATATAAACACATACTCACGCACACACACACACAAAATCTGTAGAAACTGTCGGCGTGCCAACATCGCGTATACTTAATGAACAAATCAAATAAGCAATAGAAATTAGCCAAAGCAATTGTTAAAAATATCCACATTTAAATGGCAAACGTATCAATTAATCAATCAATCAATAACATTTATATATGTATATAAATAACTATACATATATTTGAATACCTATTGTGTTTGTATACATATATCAAGTGCATTGTTTTATATCGCCGCATTGTACAAATAACAAAAAGAAAAAAGTGAAGAAATAATTGTATCAGTACTCGCAACGAAACGGTTTTGAATCTACTTAATGTACTTAAATTGAAAATGAACATTTAATAATTGAATTATTATGAAAAACGTTGCAATCAAATTAACTAACACTTAAGCAATATCCTAATAAAGTCTAATCTAGCTGTAAGTTAAATTGGCACAAGCTTTGCAAGCAACAGCCCTTTCACAAAGTGTTTGCTCTACGATTTTTTATGGTGTGCAGTTTGTTGTACCTAAACTCAAACTACACGTTTGCTTTTTTTCTTTTAACTCCAATTTTCTTATTTTGCTCAAACTAATTTCCTTCTCATGGCGGTTCGAGACCATGGAAGAATTCTCCGCTCCTTTTTTCTATTTATTTCTTATATTCCTAAAATTCTCTCTTTTGTTACTTTCGTCTGATCATCATTATGATTGTGTTTTCCCAACATCTCTTATAATTTATGAAATGTGCAATCCGAAATTCACTATTTAATTCGAAATTTATTCGCTCATTATGAAATAAATTTAGAACTTATAATCTGAGTTATATATCATAAATAAAGAGACGTTATTGTAATCAGCCTAATTCCTATGGAATGATCTTTTATGACTGAAGTTAGTATTCGGAATATTATACTCCTTATATTTTTATCTTATCTTTAATCTTTTTTTCCTTGTTGAAAAAATTCAGTTTCAATTGCTATTTTCCAGGCCAATACAAAATTTTAATTTATGCAACCAAAATAGAATTTCAGGAAGTTTATGCAGTCCTTTTTTAGCTTTGCATTCCTAAAATCTGTTGGAAAATTTGTCCTGTACCAATTGAAATGAACTAATATTTGGAAAAAAACGATTCCTTTTTCCTAAAATCCTTTTGAAAACTAAAAAATTAACAGTTGTACTCGGTAAAAATGTAAAATGAACAACATATCGCTTATCTACTCACCGATTTATGCTTATTTTACAGGAATATATTCCAGTACTTTTTACCATCAGCTCGAAATCCAAATACTAATAAATTCTGTACTTAGTTTAAGTCAGATTTATATTTAAAAAAATCAACAAACACTTTGTGAAAGGTTTTGCTAACTAAAACAGTTCGGAGTTGGGAAAACCTTAATTTAAAAAAAAAAAAAAAAAAAAATTAAATAAAAATTGAAAAATAAAACTGATAGAAGAAAACCCTCTTTGCTCTCTGCTCGTTTACAGACGGCCAACGACAACCTAAACAGCCACAACAACCTGAAAAATTATGCAATACCTTAGAGTCCCTAAATGATATACTAGAGGCTAAATGTGAATCCAAATTGAAAGATGAGGCAGCCGATCTGTTTATAGCCACACATGGCGGTTGTCTTTATCACTACAATGATGCGGCCGAAGAGTTTGAGATCTAACACATTAATTGTCGTACGAAGCACTATATATGTATTTATACATAGAACCTTAACTAACCATAATGCATTGTATAACGTAGTCTAAGTAGATAGTAAGACTTTGAACATAACACTAAATGAATTTTTATGCAAGTCCCAAATACAAAAGGTGCTTAAATTTACTTAAGTGAAGTGTAATAAAAGAGTTAAGCCCCTAAACAAATATATAATTGAATGTGAAACATTTCAGCGTGGCTTTTTTTCAATGATCATTGAATAATTTTAATTAAATATATATTCTATATATATATTTAAGTTATTAAGTCCTGTAAAATCCAAATGGGATATATTTATACTGTATCGAAACGATGTATTTTATATTCTCTTTATATTTTTCGATAACTCATCCACTCGCTTATCGATAAATGGAGGGTGAATAAATGCTGTGGTGAATATAGAGATTTGAAATATTCAACCTATGAACGAATTCGGCAATGAATTGCCCATAATAGAGACACAGCTCAATTCAAGAAAACAATACTCCAAAACTATTCAATTCTTCTAATTTCAGTTTTATTAAATTGCTTCTGTAAAAGTTCATAGTGTATATTTGCTATATTTTGTCATTGTGTACATAATGAATTGAACAAATTGTACATTGAAATGCTTTTAAATGCCATTAGAATCTTATTTGATGGTGTGGAATACTTTGTAGTTGCAGATAAATGCTGCTCTTAAATCGTAAGCGTTTGCCGCTCTCCGTTCTCCACATTGATGTAGTTCTCCTGCACATCCTTGACCATGAAGTCGACCAGGTTGTCCAAATCGTACTTGTGCTGCCAGTGCCAGTCGCGACGCGCATCCGAATCATCGAACACCTGCGGCCAGGAATCGGCAATGGACTGCCGGCTGTCCGGCTTGTAGGTGACATGCAAATGTGGCACGTGCTTGCTCAGCTTATCCACCAGCTCCTCAGGCGTAAAGGACATGGCCGTGACATTGTAGACGCGTCGTTTCAGCTTTTCATTGGGCGCGCGCATGAACTCCAGCAGAGCACTACGGAGAAATAATATATAGAGAGAGCTCTAGTCAACCTATAGATCTCTGCACTTACCGCAGACAATCCTCAATGTACATCATGGGCAGACGTGTGTCTGGCCGCAGGTAGCAAGTGTATTTGCCATGCCGCAGTGCCTCATGAAAGACGGCAACGGCATAATCTGCATGATAGAGAGAGAGAGAGAAAAGTGAGGTTAGGTTGTCAGTTAAGATTATGAAGAGGTAGCTAGCTATACTCTTTCTAATATAGACTTTGATAGACTCAACTGAAGATCTACTTTTATTATCAAATTATCGTTGCATTATCAAGCAACAATTTCCTTTCCCCAACTAATGTCATTCCATATGAATATGCACTTTGTTACGCTACGTTTAACAGCAAAGAGTGTATGCTAATAAAACTATTAAATAATTTAATCAATTTAGTGCACTCTCTTTATGTCAATGATCTTAGCCCGATGTCGACTTACCTGTGGTGCCGCCGCCTGGTGGATCGCTGGAAATGACGCCCGGAAAGCGCAAGCATCTGAAATCCAAGCCGAACTTGTGATAATAATATTCGCCAATGAGCTCGGCGTGCACCTTGGATACGCCGTAAATAGTGCGAGGCCGTTGTATCTGCAAGAGAATGAGAGCAAGAGAGAGAACGAGAGCAAGTCACCATTATTGAACAAACTGAAACGGGAGCAGAGCTTTCGGCACTCACTGTAACGTTCGGTGTTGGATTGCGGGGACTATCGGGCCCAAAGGCGCCAATCGTGCTGGGCACAAAGATGCGCAGCTTATACTGTTTCGCCAGCTCGATAACATTGTGCACGCCCTCAATGTTGACCCTGAAGTTGGTTGGGTAAAGTTAGGTAATACCTGGAGCTAGCTGGCACTACTTGCGGCACCTACCTCACTGCGAGTGGCACATTCTGTTCACCCACTGCGCTGAGCAGCGCCGAGAAGTGAATGAGCCAATCGATGCGCTCGTTGACGACTATCTTCTGCAGACCCTTGAAGTCCAGGATGTCGGCAAAGATGTAGGGTCCATTCTCCAGCACCGCCTGGCTGGGCTTTATGATGTCCGAGAGTATGACGTTCTCGCTGCCGTACTGTGAGCGCATCAGCTTGGCGCACTCAATGCCCAGCTGGCCGAGACCACCTGGAGGCAGACAGGAAACGGAAGTGATTAGAATTGTCCCATCCATATATATATTTATTTGAATCCCTTCACTAACCGGTGATTAGAATTTTTGGCGGTCTGCTGGCGGGCACACGCTGATGCAGGAGACGCACCACCGGCTGCATCTGCCGCTGACTGGCCACCAGGCTGCTGAGGCACTTGCGCCACATGCTCTACTGGGTTACTACGGAAAGGATTGAGCGACAAGCGACACTGGACACTGGACACTGGACACCGGACCCGCAACGCCGCAACGCAGCGAGTTACAATATTCAACTGATTTTGAATTTCAGCAAATAATTTTTACGAACGTCGAGCATCGAATATAATTCACTATATGTTATACTCGCCTATTCGCGCACATATCGGGTGAGCATTCGGATTTCCATTCGCTAGTTGTCGACACTTGGCAAACACTCAATTTTCTCGTTTTTTATTTTCTCATTTTTTTGATTCATTATGAGACGTTATTGTTGTTGTTGTTGTTGTTGTTGTCACCATGGCAAAGATTTGCTCGGGCTTTGCCATTTATAATTCAATAAAAGCGAAAGCAGCACGCTGCCACCGAGAGGAGGCCCGCCAATTGACAATAACAATAACAATAGCAACAACAACAATAACAACAACAATCAAAGGAAAAGCAACAGCAGCAACAACAACAACAACAATTAACATAGTTTAGCTGCGCAAGTTTCCTTTTTGGAGGCAGGTCTATATCGCTATTTCGTGTGTCGGTTATGCAAAAAAACAAAAACAAGAAAATAAATACATGGAAGCATAATTTTACAGGGTGTTTTACATATGACAATGGACAGTAGATTGCTTTGATCGTATTTGTTACTTGCACAATTTAGAAACTTATCTACAATTATATGTAGTATATGTGTGTATGCTCACTTTATGATTACAGATTAATATACTTCTAGCCTTCTACGCCTAAAAATATATCCCCTATTTTGTACTGAAATCACGCCAGTGCTCTTAAGGTCTTTCACCTATATATATACTATAACACTGTTCGACTTCTGCTTTTACTACACATAATGGTTCTTGCTATGCTCTGACTATAATGCAAATTGCATTACTAATTTACAATCGTATTCTGGCATATCGTATTTTGACATCTCCATATTAATAAAAATTCCTATGCAAATATTACAAATTCTATACAATTGTAAATAAGTAGTAAGAAATGTAAATATATAAATTTTACAAGAAAACTATATAAAATTAATAAAAAATTTAATATTAGTAGTAGAAATTTAGATTATACTAAAAAGAATAACAGATATTATTAGTCATACTGCAATTACTACTACTTTTAAACTTTTTACTACTATTTCTCTACATACTATGGTTCTACTAATCATATAATAGTATTACAAATTTGAGTAGTTTTCTTAAAAAGTATTATACCTTATAATATAGTAGTAATATAGTATTGATCACGACTCTTTATTTACTATTATCTGCTACTCTTATATTATACTTATATTCTCATACCTAACTATTATATATGAGCTTACTACTATTTCACTTTCTACTACTATAGAACGGAGCGCCCATCGCGCTTCTGCTTTGCCTCTCTTCAGTAGAACTTTCATCTAAATGCTGTTAAAAAGCTCTGTTATTGTACAGTAAACTCAATTAACCTTGACAAATGAAATATGTAAATGCGTAAGTCTGCTAAGGGATCGAGAACTCAATTTAATATAATTAAGTGTTGGGGCAAGGGCCTCTAAATGGAATCGGTCCACATGCTTATGGTTCACACTGTGGAAAAGCGTGTGCTACACAATCTGATAATACATTGAACTTGCACTAATTTTATAGCATGTACTGCAAATTGTTATTCGCAGGGGTTATCAGCATACGGTATGAAAAAACATATAGACTATATTTAAACGAGCGTATAATTGTTTTGCGTTTGAGCAATTCAATTATAGAACATTAGAATACGATTTTCACTCTTCAGCCTTGACAATCCTTAGTTGACGTAGTTGTGTTTTGTGCTTGGAAAATATGAACATAAAAATAAGTACAAATTATGTAGAGACTACAAATACGTAGGCGTATGATTTTCTTCTGTGAGAACTACAACTAACGCGCCAGACAGCTGGCAAATATAATTGGATATAAGTCTATCGCATAAATGTTTAAAAAAGAAATATTGTCTGCCTCTTACTCTTGCTCAATGGGCGCCACATATTGGGGAAGTGTTATATGGTCTTTCTTTGGTCCCTGTGCGCATTCCAGACATCTTGGGCAGCCAAGCGATGCCGCAACTGGAGCCAGATTTTTATGTAACTCCCATAAGGAGACAGTAATAATGATGACGTTACGGCAGCAACAACAACAACCACGAATAGAAAAACTAAAACACGTGAATCAAGCGCTTTATGAGGCCTTTAATTTAATTTAGCAAAAGTGAGCCGAGCAGAAAGAGCCCCCTAAGATAGCGTGAGATATCGGGCTAGGAAATGTACGACAAACGGTTAGAAATGAAAGTGAAATGAGCAACAGGGCTGAAACAGAGCTAAGAGCATAAACATGGCTTGGTTCATGGCACGAACCAATTAGTTGGCTTTAAAATGAGGTTTGTAAAATTCATGGGACATAGATTTGGGCGAAAATATTTGAATTTGTATTTTTTTCTATATTCTTTATTAATAATCTTTCATTTGGAAATATACAAAATATTTGAACATTTAAAAAATCTGTTCAATTAATGTTTCATAGCTCTTGCCACACTTTAGCTCATAGCCTATAATTATGTTCATTAAAATTTAATTGTACAGCTTGTAGTAAAAGCTTGTCAGAAAACGCATTCATATAAATAATAGAAAACGGTTTTTAATTGCTAAAATCCCAGCTAAATTTCCAACATCGAAGCTCTAGTATTTACATTCCAACTGACTTTACTACATATTCATTCCACATGTTCATTTTGCGCAATTTTCCCCAATCAGAATAATCTTCAAATAATATCCCAACTCAATGCCAAACTTCTGCCAAAAGTCAGCAATTGCTTCTGGCCTTCGTTGCTGTACAAGCAATTTGTAAACTTAATTTGTTAATTTCACTTGCAATTTCAATATCATCTTAAGCATAAACAACCTCGCACCGACAGCAGCAGCATGGCCAGCCCGCCAGCCAGCCAGCTTCGACCCCTGTAGCCTGGTCACAGTTCAGGTATCAACCACGTTCCACATACGATCCACAAACGCTGTGAGTCAAGTTAACTGTGTGTCGCGTCTTGTGCGAGTGAGAATCAGCCAAGTGTGGCGCCAAATGTGCTCCGATATTGCAGAGGCAGGAAGCATTCGCTTCTTGGCGCTACTCCCCCGCATTCCAGCCAATGCTGAACGCTCAAAACAAAACACACAAAACATACAAAAAATTAAAAAAAAAAAAAAAAAAACGTTTGTAGAAATCTTGAGTAATCCGTTGGCTTCGCATAACGTTTTGAAAACAGTTTTAACGCGCATTCCAAACGAGACGGTTCGCCTAGTTCGGCTCCTTACAAATAAACGTCGAAGCTTTAGTGCATTTTTAATTAAATTGCAAAAAGTTTACAATAAAAGCAAAAGTGCGCTTGAAAGTAAAGCGAAAATTAAGAGAGAAAAAAGAAATTCGTGTTTATGTGAAGGCTATGAAAAGTTAACAAATATTTCAAAAGTGTTTAAATCAAATATTTGAAATCAAAATAATAATTAATTTAAACATCAAATCATACACGGATATATTGGATACGCTCTAATTGGAGTAAGCTAGTTGGAAACAAAATATTTGTAGTCAGACAAAAATCCTTGCCTGTTGTCATATACTACCCGACAATAGAGGGCGCCAGGCAATGCCTGCCTTGCTTTGACTTTAGTTCCTTTTACTGCCAATGGATGGCGCCATTATGATGAAATTTTTGCTCTCATATTTCTCATATTTTGTGTCTTATCTCGCTTTGCAAATCTGAAGCTCTGTCGCATGAATTCCACACAAAACACAGTTTTAGTGTAGTACAGGTAAATTCAAAGAACTAACAGTTATTTAATTAGGAGAGACTCAAAAGAAATCAGAGCAAAAATGGTGAAACTGTCGCGTCGCAGCTGGAGCTCCAGTTGGAGCTGCAAACAGACCTTCAAGTCACACTTAGTTGCGGCAGGCAGGCATCTCTCGGCAGCTCCCAGGTGTACAGGTGCACAAGTGTACAGGTGGTGCGCCAGCTCTTAGAGCTGAACAGCAGCTGGAAGCCAACGAAATTACAGACAATGATGAAAACGACAATAATTTCAAGGTTCGTTTGATGTAAGCTCGGCGCGCATGCGTACAGAGCGACGCTATGGAGTGGCAAAGAGGAGGTCTACTCTAACAGCAGTGGCAGCGGCAGCGGCAGCGGTAGCAGCTCTTCAGACCGTTTCACGCCCTGCCTCAGCCACAACTTCTATTTTTCTACTATTTTTCTATTTTTTTCTGTTTCTGTTGTTAAATGATTACAAAATTTTGTTGAAAAGCCATGTTACGCTTCTCGGCGCAAAAAAGTTTCTTTTTTTTCTGTTGTTCGCTGGAGTTGCGCAGCTACATCGAGTCTATGGCTAGACATAGGTATACCTGATAGCTAACAGGTAGCCCTGGATTTTAGATATGCATGTTAAGAGCTTTTTAGGCGATTGCACAAGACGTGGTAAGACTTCCTCTCAAATCAAAGAGCTGAAGCGAGATATTTGAATAAAATTTTGTGTATATGAAATGTCAACTAATTAAAATTTTAATAATTTATAAATATTGGTTAAAGACCTGGACATTTAATATATATTTAGATTGCAAGAGTTTAAGTAATCAGGCAATGCATTCTTAATCTTATCTAATCTTATCTAAGAAGAGCCCCAATAAACTAGCTACAGATATTTTTATTAGTTATTTATGTCTGCTCTCATATATAGATCAATAACAATTCAATCGATCCATTAGCTTAGCTGCTTAACGCGCTTCGTAGCCATTGATGCGGTCAACAATTAGATCGTTGACCAGTTCCTTCATATTCTTGGCCACAATAAAGTCCAAGTGATTGAAGCTCTCGAGGGGCACACGATGATCCTCAGCCAGGTGGGTGAACTCGGCGACCAAAGTGTCCACATCCTCTGGACCGCACAGCGCATCGTTTTGACTCGAATAGGAATGCGTCTTGGCCGTAATTTTGCTCAGGTCATAGTCTGGCGGCAGATCCTGGCCATAGAGGTCACGATTCTTCTTGGTGCCCCAGTCGTACTGGCGGAACTCGTGCGAGGTCGACAGCTGCAAATAGTGAATGCCCTGATTACTGGAAGAGCCACCTGGATGCGTCTTAATCAAGAGCTGCATGGAAGTCTGCCGAGAGAAAAGAATGGGATTTATGGAATATATAAGAGAGTTTGGGATTACGCTGAGCCCTTACCAGATTAATGTTCTCATAGCCGCCATTGGCGAACATCAGGAATCCGTTCTTGCAGATGGACTCGTAGGGACTGCCGCTGCCGCAGCCGTTGTCCGCCAGGCGATTGACTAGATTGTTGTACGGTATCAGCTCGGTGTCCACCAGCAGCTGGTTCCAAATGCCGCCAGGTGTGCCCACCAGTGGCCCAAGCAATCCGAAGACCGCGGAACGGCCGTGCGCAAAGAATGCGCATGGAGCCAGCAAGTGGCCCGACTTGATCTTCGCATTGTACTCCGGTCGCTCGGACAAGAGCACCAGGTACACCGTGGTGCCCTGCGAGTGGCCGGCATAGTGCAGCTGCTCGTGCTGCGTCTCCTCCAGAATGTAATCAATCATGGCAGCGATGTCAATGGTGCCAATCTCATGCCAGTCGAAGTGCCAGAACCTGGGATGGTTCAGCGAGATTTGCTCGTTGGCGCGCGAATAGATGTTGCCACGTGCATTGCCCAGCCAGACATCGTATCCCGCGTCGGCCAGCAGGTAGGCCAACGAGTTGTCCGGCCCCGAGCTCAGCCAGCAGTCCGAGTTGCTGAACAGGCCATGCTGCAGCAGCACCGGCGGCCGCCTCGCGTTCTGGTTGCCCAGCTTGTGGGAGTAGGGAATGCGAAAGAGTTTCAGCACGTAGCCATCATCGGTGACCACCCTATGGGCCTCGGCTGGATAGCCATGGGAGCGTATACGCTTATCCGAGGGGATCATATCACGCAAATTTAATTTGCTATCAGTGAGTGCCTGGCTTAAGGCCAGCAGAAGTGGCAACAGGTAGATCAAAGCGCGCATTGTAGAGTCTAGAAGGAACCTCTTCGCTCTGACTGCGGCAGTCGAGTGGGTCACTTATATAGCCACGGCAGTGACAGAGGGAGAAGAGGGGAGGGGGGAGTGCGCCAAACTCTCCAATCAACTAATGAATTCAAATCGATCACAGCTGATAATGGCCAAGTTAAGATTACCGTAGATTTAAGGTTGGGGTGGAATATTTTACTTGACTGGGGTGCGAGTCTTGCGATCAATTAACTATTTTTAGCAACAATTTATGTACACATTTCAACTGATTTATAATCCACAAATTCTAAAATATCATTATGAAAACAACAATTCTTTTCGCATTTTTGGAAGGAAAATAAGTTAAGCTACAAGTACCGGCAGGTGTTTACCTCTATTATGATTATAATTCGCCCTAGATTAAAATGAACATATATTAACAAACTGTCATTAATACTTTAAGGCATTCTAGACAGCCTGGTCGTATTAGTTAACAGTAACGGTATCTGTTCTAATCTATTATATTTTGTTATAATGTGGCTTCCAGACTTTTGATACTATTTGTTTATAATAATTACTATATAATACATGTGTGTGGATCGTAATATTACTATTACTATGCTTCATTGATGTTGATTCTTGAATATACGATATAAACGGCAAAATATATATATTTGAATAATATGTAGATTAATTATAATCAATAGAAAATAACTGAAAAGGAAGTTTTAAATATGTGGATTTTTTTCTTATAATATTTTAAAATATATTTAATATTACTAAAAAGATTTTATAAATATTATTTACACATATTCTGTGAGAATAATATAATAATGGAAGATTTTTAAATAATATATAAAAGAATAATAATATAATAATAATAATAATAATGCATAAATAATATTTCAAGTTTTATTTTAATTATAAGGTACATTATAAAAACTGAACCGATAAAAGTATTAGAATAAAACATAATCTATTTATTCAATGAAAAAAAAAAAACAACATAGTTGATTAGCAATTGATAATTATAAGTACTTTGGTACTAATATTATTATAATTCCTTTCTTAAGTAGTGCTAGTAACAAATACCTTTAACTGAAGTCAGAGCAGCATCCATTTCCATTGGGCTTTCATTACTCTTATATCCCCTTTGAATTTCTTATATTGATTCCATTTGTTGCAGAGCTTCAAGCTATGTGCCAGTCAGGCATCAATATAAACCCATAATCGAAACGTATGTCAGGATGCTTTTACTGCCGATTCTACTGTTATATGCCGGCTGGACGGGGCTAGTGCGTGCTGACAGCTGTCCGCCCTCGGAGGCCATCCTGCCCTGTCGCTGTTCGCTGCGCGGCAAGGAGATACAAATATGGTAAGTAGATGCAGCTGAGAGACTCACCTGGCTAAACGGCTGTTTGTGCAGGTGCTCGCACAGCAACTTGCCACAGATAATGGATGGCCTGAAGGCCGTGGAGCGGAATATCAAGACCCAAATCGATGAGCTGGTGCTGGAGAACAATCAACTGCCCGCGCTGCCGGGTCGCTTCTTTGGCAATCTGCAGATCGTGCGGCTGATGCTGCGCTACAATAGCATCGAACGGGTCTCCAATGGCTGGCTGAACGAGCTGGAGAACAGCCTGGTGGAGATATTCATAGTGGAGCCACAGCTGCGCAGCATCCCGGCCGAGAGCTTGAACGGCATGATCAACATGCTGGCCATAACCATACAGAGCGACGAGCTGAAGCACTTGCCCGACTTTTCGGGCCTCCTCAGCCTGACCTATGTGAGCGTGCAGAGCGCATCGCTGACGGAGCTGCAGCCGCACAGCTTCCGGCATCTGCCCAAGTTGCAGCACATCCACATCACAGGCGGCGCGGGTCTGACGCGCCTGGAGGCGGGCCTGTTCGATGGCTTGATATCCCTCAAGAGTCTGGATCTCAGTCGCAACGGTATCAACTGGATTCACCTGCGCGCCATGACGCGATTGCCCAACTTGGTCAGCCTGAAACTATCGTATAATCAGATCAGCGATGTGGGCATGATTGGGCGCATTGTGAAGGACCTGGAACACTTGAAGAAGCTGCGCCTCGATCACAATATCATAAATGTCATCGAGGACGGCTCCTTTGTGGACTTGCCCAATCTCTCCGAGCTGCATCTCAATGACAATCGCATCACGGAGCTGCAGTACGGCGCCTTCCTGCGCACCCCCCAACTGAAGACTATTCATTTGCACAACAATTTGATACGGCGCATACATCCGGAGTCGCTGCTGCAGGCCTCTGGCAGCGGCGTGGAGGCCGTGCACATCTACAACAATGAGATTGGCCATGTGGAGGCGCTGCGAGCGCTGCTCGACGCCTTGCCCACGCTGCGCTTCCTGGACATGAGCGGCAATCTGTTAAGCGAGCTGCCCTACGGGGCACTGCGTGGCCATGGCACGCTGGAGCAACTGCATCTGAACAACAATCAATTGCGCTCGATCGAGCGCGATGCTCTGATGGCCATGCCCGCTCTCCGGGAGCTGCGCATGCGCAACAATAGCCTCAGCTCGGATCTGCCTTTGCCCTTCTGGAATCTGCCGGGTCTCAAGGGCTTGGATCTCGCCCAGAATCAATTTGTGCGCGTCGACTCACAGCTGCTGGCTGGCCTGCCCTCGCTGCGTCGCTTGGATCTCAGCGAGAACGGCTTGGTCGATCTGGCTGCCAACAGCTTTCGGCACAATAGTCTCTTGGAAACGCTCAACATCTCGTCGAATGAACTGACCCACATCTATCCGGGCACCTTCATGCACTTGGAACGCCTCTTCGAGGTGGACGCCAGCTACAATCAGTTGACTGCTATGATTCCAGGTCTGCCTCAGATTGTGGAGCGCATCTCGTTGCGTGGCAATCGCATCTCATCTCTGCCCCCTGCGGGCAGCAAGTCCCTGCAGTTGCCCAATCTGCGCATGCTGGATCTCAGCCAGAATCTCATTGAGCAGCTGCCACGGCACGGCTTCCAGGCGGCGCCCGAGCTACGCGTGCTGAGTCTGGCGCAGAATCAGCTGCGTCTGCTGGAGGACACCTCGTTCATAGGCATACAGCGGCTGGAGCTGCTGCACCTGCAGGACAATCAGCTGAGCCAGGCGGATGAGCGTGCGCTGTTGCCGCTGGCGGAGCTTCGCAATCTCAATCTGCAGTCCAACAAGCTGGAGTCCATCACGGACAACTTCTTCTCGAACAACAGCCGGCTGGAGCAGCTGGATCTGTCCCGCAATCTCATCCGCACCATTTCGCCCACCGCCTTCGACAATCAGCGCTCGCTGGAGTATCTGGATCTGTCGGGCAATGCGCTGCTCGACATCTCCGTGGGTCTGGGCAATCTGCACAGTCTGCGCGACGTGGATCTCAGCTACAATCAGATCTCGCGCGTGCATGCGGATGTGGTCAATGCCTGGCGCAATGTCGTCGAGATTCGCCTGTCCAACAATCTCATCGTGGAGCTGCAGCAGGGCACCTTCCGCAACCTGCCCAAGCTGCAGTATCTGGATCTGAGCAGCAACGAGATTAGCAGCGTGCAGCCAGGCGCACTCAAGAGTCTACCGGAGCTGCAGGAGTTTGTGCTGGCCGACAACAAGCTGGTGGAGCTGAAGGACCACGTGTTCGAGGACCTACCCTCACTACTGGCCTCCCACTTTCAGTACAACAAATTGAGGTACATCTCGCCAGAGAGCTTCCACCACGCCAACTCGCTGGTCTTCCTCAACTTGTCCAACAATCACTTTCGCAACATGGAAAACATTGGACTGCGCAGCATGCGCAACCTGGAGGTCTTGGACCTCTCCACCAATGGCGTCAAAATGGTCTCCACAATGCCACTCAAGGCGCTCAACTGGCTGGTCGAGCTGAAGATGGATAACAATCAGATATGCAGAATACAGGTGGGTCTGCTCTAGTGGACTCTGCTCCATATACATTTCTCCTTTAAATATGTTTGTCTCTTTCAGGGCTCTCCCTTTGAGACCATGCCCAGGTTGCGCGTCTTGTCCATGCGCAACAATCAGCTGAGAACCATCAAGGAGCGCACCTTTAGGAATTTGAGAGGCAACATTGCCATACTCGATGTGGATGGTAGGTCTTAGACTACTTCTCCGGCTGTGCTCATTCCATGAACTCACATTCGCTTCTCTCTCAGGCAATCCCATCGAGTGCAACTGTGAGATGCAGTGGCTCTCCGTCTGGCTGCAGGAGACGAATTTCCCTTACCCCGGTCCAAAGTGCAAGGATGGTCGCCTGCTGCGCATGGCACGCATGGAGCGCAGTCTCTGCGCTGGCCTGGAGCTCTACAATGGCGGCGATAACAACGAGCGCACCGAGGCCAATCATCTGCCGCTGCTGAACGAGCACGGCGACGTGTTCCAGCGTGATCTGCCCGAGGAATTCAATGATGATTGCGACGCGTATAACGAGCGTCCGATGGTGGGGGATAGCGAATACTTTTACGAGCAGTATGTGGACTCCACGGATGTGCCGGAATCGACTAATGCGGTGGTCAGCAGCTCGCAGCGACCCAAGCCGACGACAGCAGCTAATCCCAACATAGATCTGAACAATACGCTGCTGCATACCAAGTACTTCAATAGGCGACCACAGCCGGCGGCTGGCGCTGGGTCTCCGTTCACCTTCTTTGGCTATCCGATACCCAGCCTGAGCTTGGGTCGCTTCTTTGGATTTGGGGAGCGTGGGCGTAAGCAGCGCACGGATCAGGATGATCCGATGCCAGCCACGCATCGCATGGCGCACATCAATTTGCCCAGTGGGCGTGGCAAGACGCGCATGTATCAGCCGAACAGCGCCGAGTTCGAGAAGTATCTGCGGGAGCAGCAGCAACAGCAACAGCATCAATCGAATGTGCCCAACGCTAGGAATCGCTATGGCGAAACGGAGTCGACCACCAGCTCGGGCGAGGAAGCCGCGAGCAATGAGAGTGGTGCCGCCACCACAACGGGCGTGTTTCGCACTACATTCCGAGAGCCGGCGAGCATTGAGCGTGGCGGCTTCCGACCCATTGTGCCGGCACACGTTGGCGGCTTCATGCCAGTGCATGATCCCCAGCAGCGCCGCGGTGTAGTGGAGCAGGTGAATGCCACGAGCAAACCACACCTGGAGCGGCATTTTGTGCCCATCGCCGTGCAACCAGAGCAGGCACAGCCCAGACCTAAGCCAACGAGCGGCGCCGAGAGCAGCGAAACGGCCACCTACGAAGTCACCGAAGTGACACCCGATATAACCACTCAAATGCCAATCGTAAAGAGCACCAGACCCATGACAACAGCTCGACCAACGTCATCCGCAACTACAACTACGACTACAACTAGTTCTACAACAGAGACGCCGATGACCAGTGCCTCCAGTGAGCAACAAACGGAGGATTCCCAGTACGATGATGAGGATCTGGAGGCGCAGTCAGTAACGCTGCTGCGTCCACCGAAACTCTATCAGCCAACAACAGCAGAGACCATACTATTGATACCGCCACCCGAAGAGCACGTGGCACAAATCAAAAGTCACTCATGGGTGACGACCACGACAGAAGCCATCACTGACTATAAGGCCACACCCAGCAGCGAGCAAGTGGCTGATGCGCCTGCTCGCGGTACTGGAGCCACTGGCGTGCGTACGCCTGGTGGACGTTCCACTATCACCAAGGTGTATACACCGCACCAGCAGCATCAGCAGCAATTGGTACAGCCCACAGCCGAGGAGTATCAGCGCACAACGCCCAGTGCGGACAATGAGAGCTTTGCCAGCGAGCAGCAAGTGATTTCTAAACAAGCCCAGAAGCGTACAGACACACTCCCGGATCTATCACAGGTCGCGGAGCGGACGGAGCGCAAGGATGGCATGGACTGGTACTATGAGAGCTTCAAGAAGAAACGAGATTTTACAAATCAAGCTACTGCGGTGCATACGCCTGCCAACAAGGAGGTGTTCTATGGCAATGTCCTGCCAGAATTGAATGGAAGCAGCAGTTGGAGTCAGCCAAGCAACCGATATATAATCCTACTGGCCTTCATCTTGCTGGGCAGTCGCTGATGAGGAACGTTGTTGGCAGTGTTAAACAGTTGTTTAAGTTGTTTTATAAGTTTATTTTTACAATTGATATGTATATTAATCTATGTTGTATAATAAAATTAAAACATTAGATTCATGAACATTCGCTGGGTCAACTAGGAGTGTACCTGAAAAATAATTATTAATAACAAATTAGTTTCACATATTATAATTGAAGGAAATGCAATTCTCGTATAGCAATCAGATGGTAGTGCATTGTCTGTAAATTTCAACATTATTGCTCTGATTTGCTATGTAGTTATCATCATTAGAAAATATATGGATTTTTAATAATAGATCGAATGCTTACCTTTCAGCAGGGGTTCGAATGCCCGCCTTTTTTCCAGCTTGCTCTCGGACAATTAAATGCGTACAGGACTAAAAGTAAATTTACATCAATTAGATTTGCCGATTTGCAAATAAAAGAGCTAGTTTTTTTTATATTATAATCAGATGGTAGTGCATGGCGTGCAATCAATATCAACATAATGGTTCTGAGTTAGTATGAAGATATCATCAGAAAATATAAAAAACGATCAGATATACAATTTAAAGACCACTTACTTTAACTTGTAGGTTATGTGTAACTTTCACGTACAAGAATCCACGAGCAACTAAAACGAAACAAATACATATGTACACTTTTATATTTAAGTACACTTTTACATTAGGTACAGCTAATTGTTATCAGTTGCTGGCTGTGGTTCTAGATATAATTCAACACAATTGCTCAGTTATTTAATATAATTTTTATCATCCTTGGAGCTAATTTAATGTTATTCCTGAGAGTTGCAGACTCACCTCGCATATTTATCGAATAACGTTGCGTAGAAAAGTTTCAAATTTCCAGCTCGACGCAAAAACCACGTGGTTCAAGTACATGCCTCAGTTCAGTCACCAAAGTCGAGTAGGCCAGCTCTCTCATCTTGCAGCCAATTAAAAAAGTTACAGTCCTCTAAAGACATTTTTTTAACGCTTTAGCAATTAATTGCAATTTATTTTAAAAATTGTAATTAAATTACGAAAAGCAGACCACACGCTGTCGCTGCTGAAAGAGATTGAAAGAGAACGATGCTGCCGGATGTTTTATTTTGTTGACAGCTATGTGCAGTGCTACCATATCAGTATTATAAACATACTCTGACAACTCTATACTATTTGGTAGCCCTGTGCGAGCTTGCCATATGAATTGGCGCAATTTTGGCAAACAAAACTAAACAAAATAAAAATAGTCTAGCACCGAACAAGGTAAATGGTCTAGTCAAGAGCAAATTCAAGAAATGAATACAGAGGTCTTCAAACACAATGGAAACACTTCAGTTGCAGCTCGATGACAGCTAATGTTCTCTATTGACTTTTGCAGCTCCAGCTACTGAGGCTACAATAATGACGACAACGACACCGACATTGCAGACGCGCATGGCACTAGCTGAAATACCCGATCGCCTAGAGGCACTACGTGTTGCGAATACACCAACAAATGCTAATCGCCGTACGCCTGATGAACCGACGCCGGCCACTACAGCCAACACGCCCAATGGTGGAGGCGGCGGTGGAGGACTTGGACTACGTGTGGACAATGATATGAATGTGGCACAGGCACAGGACTTTAGCTTCTCGCCGCTACCCTCACCAGATGAACTAATTATACGGCAACGTGGGCGTCGTCGTTTCACAACGACCTTCTCGCCGGACAAAGTCAATGGCGGTGTCAGCGGGAATAGTAGTTCAATACGCAGTCCATTTCAGCGTACGCCTACGAAGAACCTGCAATTGACTAGTGGCATGATATTGCGCAGTTCGCCACGCAAACGATTGACCATGGGCAGCACACCACCCGAACCTACACCAATGGAAACATATTCACCCATCAAGTTGACCCACACAAAGCAACAGCTATGGCCAGGCACGCCCATAGTGAAGAAGCAGAAAATGGACGATCGTCCCGTGGCACAAACGAACAGCGAGGTGCCATTGCCAACACTTCTGATGGGTCTTTCACATCAACAACTCATTGACTTGATAATGTGCAATATAAAACAGGAAACTGCGGTGGCCACACAAAGTGCTGAGGAAAAGATTCGCGGTCAGCTGCCAACACCAGACATTAGGTAAGTAATGTTTATATGAACTATTGACATATAACTTGTGCCTGAATATTTTACAGTTTGTTGGAGCAGGAGCTGCATTATGCCAAACGGCTCATATTTAAATCTCTGCCTACGTCGCGGCTGTGCAAGAAAACAGATGCCGCTGCCTACTCAAAGGCAGCCATCCACCTGAACGAGTTTAAGCGAGTGCTGCAAACGCAGGCGAAGCGTTTGCACGATTCCACCCACTGGGATGCTCTGGTGGACTATGTCAGCATGGCCTGGCAGTGTGTGGCGAGCACGCCCAACTGGGAGAGCAACTCCCACAATGCAGTGCGCAGACAGTGCTTCAAGCTGCTCGCCTGCTCATGTTATGCGGCTATCAAGCACGGTGGCATGCGGCTGGGCCAGACGAGACTAGAGACATTGGAGCGCAATTTGCGTGAGTGGTCCAAGGACTACGAGGATGTACTGTCCTGCGTGAATGCACTACAGCGTACGCTGAACAGCCGCACCAGCTTATAAAGCCAAGAGAGGTGGTAGACTTTAAAATAGACCTAAGACCGACTTGCTGAACTCGAGGTTTAGTGGACCGTTTAGACTTAAGTATGCATCTCCGATAAGCGAATCCATTTGCCATTTTTGTAGCGGCATTTCAAGTTGCACACACCTTGAATGCATTGTTTTAAATTTTGTTTATATTCTGTGTTTGTTTTAATTTTCTTCTGTTTACATTCTGTGCACCACACATCATACCCCGATTTTGTTAAATATACATAACCGAGCATGCGTCAGCCACAGTTAATTTAGAGATTTAAACCTAAACAAATATAATCATTAACAACATAAATACTATGTACATGGTTATGCATACATACATCATATATTTAGACATACACACTTATATTTATTAATGCTTAATTATATTAATATACAATTGCTCACCAAGTAAGTTTGATTCGTGTTTAACATTTTCAACTAAGTACACTTATAGATGGCTGGATAAAAACTATGTATATGACTATAACTTCGTTTCAGTAGATCGTACGCCACGCTTCGGCCCCGCCCAGAATCTTAAACCTAAGCAATATTAATGCCTTCTGCTGTGCCAATGCAGTAAACTTAGTATAGCCAGCAGGCAGCTAAGCACAGGTTGTGCCCTGCTTAATGGAGCACTCGAGATGCGACGCCCTGCAAATTAGAGAAGAAATTGCATTTATTTTTGAGTGTATTCAAATTTATAGAATGATTATGAATTAATTGCGAACTTTGTGAAAGAATTTATAAATGAAAAATGAAGGTTGGTAATGACTATGCCATATAATATATAATGTCATTATTATCATATATATAAAATATTTTTATCAGTGAAGCTTATTGAAAGCTCTATAACCCGATATAAGATTGCAGACTGCACTTATATTAAACGTCTTATAACAAATCTAAGAACTATAAATAATTTAATACTTCTGATAATATATAATATGTTGACAATGAGCTTCCCTGAAGTACCCTTGTGACGAAAAAATGTCTTATGATAACACATTAATCCTACTTCCGCTCAATAAGTTAATATTATATATATTCTCAAAATCACATGACTGATATATTAATCATATCATCTGGATTTTTCAATGCCAAATATGATTTTATTTATTTAGCAGCTTAACTCTTATTTCATTATGAGTACGCGCACTTAATATTTTGTTTATTTGCCTCGAACTGAAAACTTTGCAAGAGAATTTACAATAAACTTTGTGAAAGAATAATAAACATAGTATGTTAATTATCTTCAAAAATTTGATGATTTAAAACGATTCAATGATTCGTTGAGTTAGTTCAATTAGCATTATAAATTAAATCTAATTATCATTGATTTTATACGATTGCGCATGATGAAGATCATCTTGCAGGTCTATCCAGTACTATTTACATTATAAAATTAGCATTGCTTTGTTAATCTTCAACTGGGTGTGTATGAGTGGTGAGCGTTGGCTGCTGAGTGTTTATGTATACACGTTATACATATATAAGTATTTTATTGATCATTGATCTGCTGTGCTGCTGCTGTCCAAATACCAACTTGTTCCAACTCTTCCATAAACATTCCAATGGCACTTACACTCTCTGAGAAAAGCGGATACACAACAGCATTCCTTGACTTCCTCGAAGAAATAGCAAGAGCCTACCGAAGGCTTATAGATCTTCTCCTCCACAAAGCATTTATGTGCTTTATAGGGCAGACCCTCTGAAAGAAACAAATAAACATTTTAATTCAAATGTAATTAAATTTTGTATATCAAGTTCTCTTATTTATTTTCAATGGAACAAAGTGCAAGGCTACTTATTCAATGTTTACTCTTATTATTATCAGAATGTATCAATTGCAATTTTGTATATTTATTATTGCAAAGAAAAATATATCAAATTTGGCGGGCGTGACTTTGGTGGCATTCAGCATATGTCTTACGTCTGTTGCAGTTCGTCAAACTAAACTTATGACATATAAAGCTGTTAAGGATTGCAAAATTTGTTTAGCAAACACCTTAAATACACCGAGTATTTTTATAGAAATGTAAACATGTAAACATTTTAAAATTTGTTCATGAGAAAATACGCAACGCGCTTTGATTGGCTAAACAAAAGCAAAGTCTATGGATATAAAATAGACATCTGGACATGGAACTGATTTTATATGATCAGCTGTCGCTGTCAGTCATAAACAAAGTCAATGCAAGTTGCTGCTACCAAAAATCAATTAAATATTCTACATAAATTCTCAAAAAGCTAACGAGAAATAACACTTAAATTAATTTCATTTGGTTTTAGTTTTCAATATATATATATTTCTATGCTGTGCTATAGCCGTTATAAGTAGAAACGGAAACTAATAATATAGAATATATGTTTATTAGACGCTGCGCCAAGATCAACAAATTCTTTGCCAAAACAATAGAAGTCTGACCAAATGACTACAAAAATTCTTCAACTTTGGGGGCCATCATATCATGCCGAACTCTCGAATTCTGTTTACACGAATTGTTTATAAAAACTAAATGTGTTGATTTTCATAAACTTCCATATTCCAAATTAGAATAATGGAAACGAACTCATTGTTTCGCTAATGCTGATGCTGCTGCTGCGTGTCACAAATATTTATTCAATTATGTAATTATCTGAAATTGAATGCAAATCGACATGAGACTCACTATATCTACAATATATGGACAGACATATACTATGATAAATTTGCTGATCGCAATGCTAATATATTGAGACAGCTGACACTAGGCGAGGACATGACAAAAATTTCAAATTCAATGAAAATCGACGGCTAGTTAAAAGAGCGGAAAAAAATTGATATTGAAGTATTCGAAATGATTATGATTGATTATGATGTTGTCTGAACCAGAAACTCGTATTTAAATAAAAAGCCAGTTATTATATAGAGCATGTTTAGGCGGTATATAAAAAGCTATCTGAGTTAGGAGCTAACAACTGTACAATACCCGTTAATGGTACAACAATGATTAAATAAATTTTCAATATATTCTCTGATTTGTTCCTTAGATTTATAACGCCTCCAATGCATCAGAGTTATGAAAAATTTTATACTGTTAACACTATAGAATATATAAGACTTCTATGATTTGCCACGACCAAACTTACAAATATTATAGTTATAATAGACATTATATACATATCTATTTATGTACATAGTATATAGAAAATAGCATTTATATTGTCTCAAAATGAGGTCAAACACAAGTACATATGCCAAATTCCAAGTGTCTAGTCTCAGGGTTATAACCCATATACCCTCTTTTTGACTACATGAACGAGTATAATAAATAGTTTAATGATTCATCAAAGCGTCAACACTTAAAGCCATCAATTCAAAAATCTAATAAAATTTGTATGAATGCAAATTATTTGACTTTTTTTGCGTGTTCAAAATGTGCAAAAATAAAAGCTGAGCATATAATTGCCTAAAAATTATTTACAAAAGAAAAAAAATAATAATAATAATAATAAATAATTGATTGTTGTTTTACAAGCAGTTCCTAAAAAGGTGCTTAAATGTCGTTACAAGAAACACCAGTAGCCAATAGCCACCCAGAGAGTGGTTAAAACGAACGAGTTTTGTTCATTGATAGAATCGAGTGCTATGATGAAGCGGCTACTTGAGTATTTCGAATTCTAGACACGTCTGACAATTGTTTGTGACTAAGGCTGTTGCATATTAAATATGTACGCGAAAAGATCTAAGCATTTTAGTTCCATAAATAAATAAATAAATATATATATATACATACATATATGCTTATATTATATTAAAAGCTAAGACTCTCCATTACTGCAAACAGTTGATTTTGTTGTATGCAACTGCAATTTTGAGATTTTGTTTATCGATAAGCGCGAAACTTACGAGTGATGCCTGATAAGAAGACACACTAGGTGGAATATCAGCTAGCATTTAAAAGGTTAAAGTTCCATTTAAAATTGAACGAGTAACATAAATTGATCAGCAGTACACTACAAATTTAATCTACTTTTTTAAAGGAAATTACTCGGTATAAATGAATTAAAACATCATAGATATAGTCTTTGTTTAGTAATCAAGAAGAAATAAAACGAACCCAATTAGTCAATAAAAAAAAACCCGAAACTACAAAAGATTAAATTTAATGAGCGTATTTACTAGAACACACAGAGAATACAATTTCAATGCGAGTGCATTTGGAAAACTGCAAAACGGAAAATTGTGCACGCCTTGAAGAAAACCATTCAAGTGTAGAAAATACGAAGTGCCGAACCCCCAGTGGAACGCATTAAAACAAACATAAAAACAACTTGGGAAAGAAAAGAATTAAATATAAACTGGCGCTTGGTCACTAGGAATGTCAGTTGATGTACAGTGGAGCCAGACTAAACTGGATGAGCTCAACAAATATCAAATCTAATGTATTTCATAGCTGTGATATCATTTACTACGCAAGAATTCTGTTAAGATGCATATATAAACATGCATACACTATGACGGGTAACTACTGTAGCGCTATGCAAGACGATGCAATGGAGCGTAGCTGCGGTTAAGATATGTGGACCACAACCTTAACCACTTACAACTTCCGCAATAGCCACGTGCTAATGAAAAGAGCGAGACTGAGAGGGTGAGTGAGTGAAAGAGATAGCTAACAGAACCCAACCTATTTTCGAGCCGAGTTTAGTGGTGCCACTTAGCTTGCATCATCTCTATTGAGCTGCGCTCATTGCGTGCCTCTCGCTCATTAGCCAATGGAATTATTGTCATTATGTAGTAGGCAAATGAAGCTTTCAGCTTCACTTAGGCTGCACTCAAGTGGGTTAGTGGCACTCGCCAGCGTTTTCATTTTCCATTTAATTCTTGTATTTCTTACGTTTTTCAGCTCTTTTGTTTATGTGTGAGAAATTGCAGAGTTTATAGTCTGTCTGTGTTGTTTGTTATTGTTAAAGCGCCATGTGTGCATGAACGCACCTTGGCGGGCAGCTCATAAATATCATATAATATCATCATTATTATCATCATCCACACATCGTTGGCTCACCTTCTCGATGCTGCAGTTCACACCAGCAATGATCTTTCTCGAATTGTGGCGTCCAGCAATAATCTAAATATTGCCCACAGTCCATCGAATTGCAAGAGTTCTGTATGCCGGCACGAGCTACCAAAAAGAGAGATGGAACGGGAGAGTTGTTAGTGAGAGACAGCAGCAGTTGCGAGCGAGCACCTCACGAGCAGAGGAACACATGAGTGCATACACATACGCATACATACATATGTATGTGAGGAGCTTCATTCGCAGAGATCTTAAGATATAAGAGATGCATGGCTTACTTGCATTCAGTTTTCGTAGCGCTTGCTCAGCGTCCTGCTCTGATACTTCATGATCAAATTTTAATTCCTCATAGCTTTCACTGATGCCCGACGCTTTATTGCCGAGTTCATCCAGGGACGAGCAGCGACTGAACATTAAGAGCAGGCATAGCGACAGGAATGTTGCTTTGGGTACTATAGGTAATCCATTTGGTGTTGTATGGCAGGAACTACGTTTATCACTCGTATTAGAAGAAATCATGCAGTCAACCGAATCCTCTGCACTTTTCCGCATTGTTTTTGAAGTTTTTAGTGTGCGTTTTTACAGTTACATTAGTTGGTATTTATTTTGGTATTTATTTGAATATCAAGTGCTTTCGTCGTTGTTTGCTCTCGTTACTTGATATGGATCCGTAAGTCGTGCTAAGTGCTGGAGCGCACTGAGGATGGAAAAGAGACGTTGTTATAGTACACATATTGAAAATGCGGTCATATAGGCTGTAGAGTATGCCAAGCATGTAAATTGTGCATTATATATTGGGTTACAGCTGCACAGCTGATTGGTTCCGAGACTGCAGCTCAGATTCTTAACGCTTAAATTGGAAGCGAAGGAAATTAAAATATAATGAACCTAACAATTAATATGAGACGTAATATTTCAGTGCAACTATTTATTACTATAACAAAAATACTAGAAATTATTAGTTCTATTTTTATTTACTTTTTTTTTTAATTTTTAAATATTTATGTTCATTTTTATCTTTTCCTTCGTAAAGAATTTGCCCGTTGCTTACTCCATTTGTTGTAATTTATTGTTATTATGTTTTTTTATGCTTTCTTTCCACATATCACATCAATTATTATTGCACATTTTTTTCTTTCAGCTCTTTGGTTACGAATAAATAATTTGGAATTTTCATTTTAAATACGAAAAATTTCTTTGGTATTTGGCGTCTAATTTATTGTCCAGCGATTCGACGATTCACCCATTCATAAATTAAATGTTGCATGAAAATAGATGCTTTCAAAAATCTAAGAAAATCATTTTTCAACGAAATCAACAACTAAAAACGCGCGCGAGTCGCGACGTCTTTTCGCATAAATTGAACAGCTTAACGGAACGGAGGAAAGACAGCGACTGTGACGTCCGCTGCGGCGCCCATGCGAAATCATTCTGATCGATGCGGGCAAGCGTTCCGAACGCGCTGTTAACTTAAAGTACTGTTAGATAACATTAAAGTAATGGAACCGCTCTTTGCATACCCTAACACAATTGAGCGAATTATTAAATCATTATAATGCCCGATTTAGGAATGTGTATATAACTAATAATTAGCAGCACTTATTTTGTCTACGACCTTTAAATTTAATAACAGTTTAATAACATTGTCAAAGTTGCATTATTTACTGGCAAACTAACGGTTGAGTTAACAGATTACTTTGCATAATCTAATATTACTCAATCGTGTGAAGTCCCTCTATGCGTGCTTTCACTCCTCCCTCTACATATGCATACATATTTTATGTATTTGCATAATCATTGAAATTCATTTCATTCCTTCTGAGAGTAGAGTATACCAACTCATGAAAGAGTTTGCTATGCTCAGGCCAGATGTGAACAAATGTTCTCTTTCAAATTATATTCAGAAAAGGTATACTTCAATTCAGTCGGCTTTTATTTTTATTATTTATTTTTATTTATTTATTTTTAACTGTTTTATTTCTTGCCAGCACTGCCTTAAAGTGCTGCCAGTTTAGCCTATTTCAGGCTAAATCTAGCTTATTTGCGAGTGGTCTGTATGTATGTTTGTATATGTCTGTTTATGTTTCTATTTCTTTGTCGGTCAGCGAGAGACGAAGAAGCTCATTTAAATTGTCCATACATATGCATGTATGCAGGAGTAGAATGCTTGCAGCAGAAGAGAGTCTTCCCATTGGTCACTCAAAGCTCTCGTTGCAGTCGGCCTCTACCTGGTGCCGACCTCAACATTTGAGAGCGACTTAGTGGTTGAGTGAAAGTCGCCCTATATAAAGGGCAGCAGCTGTAGCATTTCTTCAGTCGTCCAGGTCTGCTGGGGGTCAACCGTGCAGTGCAGTAAAGTGAAGTGAGGTGTGTGTGAAGTGATCAGCTAAGCATTCAAGACATAGAGGAAATTCTTGGAGGAAATACTTAGAAGAATAACTTAGAGCAAATACTTGGAGGAAATGCTTTAAACTTTTTATCATATCAAGTGAAAAAAATATTTTGTGCCAAATTATTATTTGATTTTTTTATTTTTCATTTGATTATTATGATAAGCAAAAATTAAAAAAAAAAGTCACTGCAGAAATTAAAAAAAAATGTATTTGCTTCTTTTATATGCTTTCTTGTATTTTCCTCCTTCTATACCTTATTTCGGTCAACACTGCTGCCTTATCATAGTAAACATCCTGCAATGCAGAAATTTTTTGAATTGCAAGGCAAATAAGAGTAAGGCAATATTTAATAAAATAAAGATAAGTCATAAGTAATAAAAACGTATTAACTGCATGCACACACATATGTATGTATATTCTTCATGTATGTATGTATGTATAGTTTATATATGATAACTTTTTGTTGCTGTTGTAGTTACAGAATTCTTTGAATTGAAGTGAGTTGTATTTAAGTACTTACGCCTAAATAAGTCATTCGTAAACATTACACGATAAGATATTGAGGTATAAGTACTTAACACTGGTTTACAATATAAAAGTAAATTGTAGTTGATCTAAAAATATTTTGCATTATATTCTATTTATATTATTATTATATTTACACACATATACATAAATAACTGATTATATAATGTTTTTAGTAGTTCACATATAATTGAAACCAATTAGCTGTTTCTATCAACAGTAATTTAATCAAATTACTCAAGAGCTCAAGTGGAAAAGTATTGCTTGGTCCATTTAGAGGATGACACTTAATAATCTTTGATAATTTGTTGGAAATGAGGCAGAGCAGATTGGACAACATTCCTGGGCTGCCTGACACACATTGAAATATGCTTTTATAATTTATGTACACCTAAGCAGACCCGGCGAGGCGCATCCCTTTAAATAGAGATCTGGGCACGAGTCTCATAATTTGTATATGGCCGTGTTTAAAAATAACATAGAAATACACACATCAACTATGTGTCGAGGAAGTTCTAAACCCCCTCTCTACTTTGTTTAGATAAGATGCTGATGATGCTGCTGCTGCTGCAACCTGTTGTAGCACCCCTCCAGATCGTAAATCTTGACAAGCTTCTGCAGTTTTTTTTAGGTTTTCGTTTTTGTTTAGAAAGCGAAATTTTATGGATGCCACTGTCTAGTATTACAGCAAGGCTATTAAATGCTATAGTTCTGCTGGCCTACAAACTGTGGGCGGTTATTGTTTTCTTTTTTGTGGCTGCCCAAAAAGCCTTTGGTTTACCTTTGAGAAATTTCAACAAAAATATATGATGACATCAAAATTATAAAATGAAATGACTTAATTCAAATGCAGGCAGCTCAATAAGCAGGATATTGAGGAAAGTTATTTGTGTCAAGGTAAAGGAAGAGTCATCAATGTTACAGTTCTAATGGGAGGTACAGTCAAAGAGGGATGGGGGCACATAGAGAAATGGCAAGAATGTTCATATGACACGCAAAATGAGAGTGTATATATAATATATACGAATAATGCTGTCTTCTATACCTAAAAAATATTTCGTTTTTTTTCATGAATAATTATATTTTATACATATTATTATTTCTTTTAAATTTTTAAAATTATTTCATTTAGCAAACGCGCGATTCTCACACAACAAACAACGCGTTTTTGAAAACGTGCGCGATTTCACAGTTTGTGAGTCATCTGTACAGTTTGCGAAGCACTGCCAAAGCACCCATAGCAGCTGGCTTAAGTTGTATTTCATTTCGACGCGCCATGGCAACTTTTCCTTCAGAATTAGACAAAACACTCAAAATTTATTATCATTTTCACACTGAACAATCAATCAGCAAATCGGCCTAAATATATATATCTATATAGGTATATATGTATGTGAAGTATATCATATTGAAAACTATTTATATTGGGCCCCATAAAGCAGCAACTACATTAAAATGCTCTCAATGCGTGAATTTTTTAAATTGTTGCCTAGCTGCGGGGGATTTATCTTGGCAATAGACTCGTTTTTTAAGATTTTAATCAGAGCACAAATTTGTCAATATTTTCTTCTTTTTTTTTAACAAACGATTTAAAATTTTCTGTTTTCAGTTTTTTCCCGTTGTGTTTTTTTTTTTTTACTTTGTTACAAAACTAGCGACAGTTCAAGTTCGTTTGGTTTTCAATAATAATAGAGCATAAATAAAAAAAACGTGCATAGGTTGTTTTTGTTTTTGTAATTGCTATTGTTATCGTTACCCTGCTTTTTAAATGGAATAAACAATTTTTTGTTGATTTTTTCCGAGATTTTTTGTTGTTGTTTAAGTGTAGCGTAGTAAACGAGATTCGGAAGGCGACTGAAAGCGTGACGCACTAGACGACGCGACGATGCGGCGCCGACAGCTTGCGGCTATGGCAACAACTTCGTATATCCTTTGTCCTGAGTCCTGCGGCATATACCTTGCACCCTCTCAAGCCCAAAGGAAAGCAACCCCTGCAAGCAGGCTTTGCTTACAGCTGGCAATGCCTTAACACGGAGTAAGAGCGCGTGAACGAGAGAGAGAGAGAGAGCTAGCAAGAGTGAGCGAGAGAGAGATGGGAGCAAGGGCCAGACAAGCTAACGGTAGCGTGTGTAATATAATATTCCTATCATAAGCAACAGGCTACCCACATCAAACCCAAACAAACCTGCGCAACGGCGCAAAACAAAGAAGGAATAAAACCTTCGGCAAGGACAGCAAGTCACAGATATTAAAAGCAAAAGCAGAAAGTTTGTTTAGGTTTGCAGAATGTGAGATGGAAGATAGACATATATATATAATATATATTACATAGTGTTTGGGTAGGACGAGCAATGCCTGATTGATGACAGACAGCGTGCGTGTGCAGACGGTAAAAGACCTGACAAGAAATTGCCAAAGGTAAAGTTAATTACGTTTGATTGAGCTATTGACGTGAGAAAAATCTGGATTATGAATTATGAATGGAGGTTTCAGGGGGCTTGACAAACTTATTTATTATAAAAATGAGTATTTTGTATTCGAAATTTATGAAGATATAAAACATATCTAAATAAAATGGGCCCACAGCTCAGGCCTAAGGCATGGTTACTTACATATATATTAAATTATATTTTGAAGCCTATTTATCCATTTTTCTTTTGCATTTGTAGTTAGTTTGTCACTTCTCCTCCACTTGGGATAGGTCAAATATTTGCCTGATCTAAATGTTCCAGCTGTCTGCTCCGCTCTGCTTGCCCTTCCATCACTTGACAAATGACGAGCAGTCGGACTGTGTCAGGTGTTTGGCAATAGCTAAAGCTGCCCCTGCTCATAAATAACGCACTCGTCTCGATTTGGCTATAGAATCTATAGAAATACCAAAGCACATATGGCGTATGAGCAACGCATCAGCTCGAACAGTTAAGCGTTAACGATTAGCCCCAGACAATGAGGACCCAAGTTGATGCTGCTGTTGCTGCTGGCGACTAGCTAATGATGAACTGACAGATCTTTAGGAGGTGGGCCAGTGCTCTGATTCCAGCCAGTGGATGGCGAGCACACAAGTGGCCATTGGCACGAAGCCAATTCGATGCTTGACATTTATTATGATTGGCTTATTAGGGCAGCTACTCGCAGCAACAACCTGGGCCATAGTCGAGGGCAGCTGCCGGAGGTTACAGGGTATCCATGAGTAGCGCCTGTAGCCGGCCCATTGATGGCATATGCCAATGGGGCCATTAACAAACTGTTTGAGCGAGCAAAGGCACATTTGTAATCTCGATGCGAAACGAGCATAAAAGCAATGTAAATATATGTATGTACATATGTATGCATATATTTATATCAATAAAATGAAATTAATTGTAAATTTAAATCTACAGCAAATAATCAGCAGCGTATAGCTTAGTGCTCATAGGCGTACTCTTGAACACTATAGATGAATTATAATATACAGCTATGTAATATACAAATATATATAAAGTTACCATCATATTCTTCGTTAATGTAGAATGTTTTACATGGTTCTCATGCCATAGTCCCACTATTTAGAAACTTGAGTGTTTTTATTTGAATTCTTGTCAAGTTTTGTTTAAGCAAAATATTTTAATTCAAGCATACAAAAATAAACATTTTATTAATACAAATTTCATAGCTCATTTCGTATTCTTAATAGTCGTATACTAATCATTTTGGGGGCTCGCAACAGAAGCCAGTTCAATACAACTTGGCAACGAGCGCGTGGCAAATGCATACATACAAGCACACACATACACACTGACACACACACACAAATAGATATATATATCTGTATTTCTATTACCCCAGCAAACCTGTAGAGCTTATGAATATTTAAGCGCCAACCGGCGAATTGTTTTAAGAAATCCAAAAAGCAAAAAAGAAATACAACGACTGGATATCAGTAACGATTCGGGTGCTTTGCATAATTATCAAAGTTTACATTGGGCAAAGGGAAAGAAATTTACTAGAGCAACAACATTATAGACGAAGCTACGCTCAAAACATAAATAATAGAACTTGCAATGTAATTGCGATAAACAAATAAACAAATAATATGCAGTTGATGATAACAGGTAACAGCACCTGTTCCAGTAAACAAATTCTGCAATTTGTAATTAAATATGCGAATATATTAATGAATAGCAACAATAAGAAAAACAGCTAGATTCTTATCGTAAACAGAATACTAGTTTGACATATATTTAAATGAGCAGGATTTTCAACTGATCAACAAGATCAGCCGAGATGTGGGCCTATATAAGGCCAGATTTCAGCGTGCCGTGGCCATAGTCTATTTGTGAAGATCTACGGATCGCAGCTGAAGTCTACAGAATAAACCTTATATAACGCGTGTGAGGAAGAGTTTTGCATAAATTGAGTCTGAGTGATAATGGTAAAGATTTGCTTGTGAATATGCCAAGAGTAGTTATATAATCCGACAAAGTGAAGGAACTCACTATGAAAGTGTTTTTTTATGAATGACTAAGGAAATACCAAGACAAATATATTGATCGTCACTTAAAAGTTAATTTATGTCTACCTAAATCTGCATATTTAGTCAGTCAAACTAAACCTATTACTTTCTTTTGCTCTTATCTTTCTCTATAGACCAGCTATACTGACAAAGGATCCAAAGTAAGCAATTCATATATATTTTAATCAATGATCGGTGTTATTAACCTATGATTCGTATTTAGCCAGAAGCCGGAAAATTCTTAAGCTTTGATCATCTAACGTTTTACGTTGGCAACGCCAAGCAGGCGGCCAGCTATTATACGACCCGATTGGGCTTTGAACCACTTGGCTATCAGGGATTGGAGACGGGCGAACGACGCTATGCGAAGCATGCTGTGCGCCAGAACAAGATTGTCTTTGTGTTTGTATCGGCGTATGAGACCGATAACGAGGAGCATGGCTTGCACTTGATGCGCCACGGTGACGGTGTCAAGGATGTGGCCTTCGAAGTGGAGGATTTGAATGCAATTTTTAACCTGGCGGTCTCCCGTGGCGCTGAAGTTGTGCGCGACATTTGGGAGGAGAGCGATGACCAGGGTTTTGTGAGATTTGCCACCATTAAGACGGTAAGTTGTCGACTTTAAATTAAATAACACAAAATTAAAATTCTCTTACTCTCTTTGCAGTACGGCGATACGACTCACACTTTTGTGGAGCGCAATGGCTACAAGGGCGACTTTTTGCCTGGCTTTCAGCGCGGCATCAAGGATGTACTGCTGGAACATCTGCCGCCGGCAAAGTTGAACTTCATCGACCATGTGGTGGGCAATCAGCCGGACTTGCAAATGGAGAGCGTTGCTGCTTGGTATGAGCGCATTTTGCAGTTCCATCGTTTCTGGTCTGTGGACGATTCTCAGATACACACGGAATACTCGGCGCTGCGGTCCATCGTCATGGCCAACTACGAAGAGACTGTGAAAATGCCCATCAACGAGCCAGCCAATGGCAAAAAGAAGTCCCAGATTCAAGAGTATGTGGACTACTATGGCGGAGCAGGTGTGCAGCACATAGCGCTCAATACAGATGATATTATTGGAGCTGTGACTAACTTGCGGGCACGCGGCACGGAGTTCTTGACCATTCCTCCGTCGTACTATGATATACTGCAGGAGCAGCTGTCGCACAGTCGCACTAAAATTAAGGAGGATATGGAAATACTGAAGAAACTGAACATTCTGGTTGATTTCGATGAGAATGGTTACCTGTTGCAGATCTTTACGAAGAACTGCCAGGACAGGCCAACGCTCTTCCTGGAGGTCATTCAGCGTTTCAATCACAATGTAAGATTTATATTCAGTCGTCATTCGATTGGTGTTTAATTATCAATTTTATTCTAGGGATTCGGCGCCGGCAACTTCAAGTCGCTCTTCACTGCGATTGAGATCGAACAGGCCAAACGTGGCAATTTGTAACTTACGATTAAGATGTAATGATATGTTCTTAGAAATATAAAGCATTTGCCAATGGCTATTAAAATCCATCTATAAGTCTTATTTCTTTCGTCCTTCGACAAAGCGACGATCAACATGAACTTTGCTGCGTGGATCTTCATCCGTAAACGAAACCATGTGCGGGTTCCAAAAGCCGGGTGGTGTGTTGTTTTCGAATTCCCTTTCGTGTCTGCAATTATTTAGATACATTTGTATCTTTTCGTCATTTAAGTTCGTGCCCATAAATGTGATAAACTGTAAGAAATATATGTGCATGAAACAATGAAAATGGAGAAAAGTAAAATATATTTACCTTTTCGCACTGTGGGCAAGTAATATTGTAGCGTTGCTTTAAACTTAATTCGGGTTCTTCTTTGACTACAATGGGACGGGGAAATATTTCCTCCTCCTCGTCTGCATCTTCCTGGTCATCGTCCATTTCAAAGTCAGCTGGCAACTTGGTTGATTCATTACCAAAAGGAGTTGGCAGCTCTGTTAGCGGCTCATGTTTCACCCTAACAACATCAGCACTTGGTTTTACTTTGGCTGCCTCTGATTGACGCTTTCGAATTAGCTCCGCTTCGAAATCCTGTAGTTTTGTCAGCGAAACTTTGTCATCCTCTTTTATGACCTCTTCCATAAAAGCCATAGTATTCAGAGAGGTATTTTCAGTAATGTTATCATCAATAAACACAATATCCTTTGTGGCAGGTGTGAGCAGCACTACGCTTGACGTATCTGAAGTGCCGCTCAAAGACGGTAGAGCAAGTCCTGAAGCTGGCTGAGATGCTGACGGGTCTGGACATAGATCAAAGAATGAATCATCGTCATCCATTTCAAACACGGGAGTCTTATTGCTTATTGGTGTCTTTGCGATGTCGGCGATAGGTTTGATATCTGAGACGCTGTTGTTGTCGACTCTGCAAACTTATTAATGGTTAATTTT